TTCCCTCAAAGATCGTTTCCATCCAACTCATCATCATCCCATCCAGATCATCATTATCCGGCTGCGCATGATCATCCTCATATGCAGGTACATGTGTGGGATGTGGGGTGCTGGATCCTCTAGTATGCTAGAAGGATGAGGGAATCTGTGTGGAATGTGGGGTGCTGGATTCTCTAGTTTGCTGGAAGGATGAGGACATTTGTGTGGGATGTGGGATACTGGATCCTTTAATCTAAAGGAAGGATAAGGGCATCTGTGTGGGATGTGAAAAAATGGATCCTCCAGACTGCTAGAAGGATGAGGACATCAGTGTCTGTGAGAATACAAAACCAGGTAGCCTAACAAAAGATGGTCCCCTAGACGGGCTAATAAAAGACAAACTCCTAGATGGGAGCAAATGATATTGAAGGGAGAGTAATGAAATAAAAGTCTGAGTTCTGGCGGGAGGCAAATCTGTTACTCGTTCGTCTTTTTTGAAATTTGTCTTGTTTCTTCTATAAGGATGATTTGTTGGTAGGAATCTGCGGTGACAGTCAAACCACGAGCTTTTTCCCCCTTTATCCAACGTAAACGCCTTGGTGTATCCCATGCAATGTGAAGAACCCATTTTGCCATGCGTACCATAACCAAACAACATGCCATATGCTGGAAAATCGTTAAGAGTCCACATCAAGGCAACTCATAAAGTAAAATTTTGTTTACGGGATATATCCCAAGTCCATTCTCCAATCCACAACCTCTTCAAATCATCAATTAAAGATTGTAAGTACACATCAATTTCGGCTTTTAGACTAGATGGCCCTGGAATGACGCGCGTTAAAAACATATATGGTTTTGTCATGCACATTGATGGGGTCTGTGTAACGTATAGCCTAAATATAGTACTGCAAGTGCACAGCCTATCGAAGTAATATATAAGATTATCGAACCACAGAGACCAATTGTCAATCTATCAACTCTATTGCTAAGGTGCTTATCTAAGGTGAACAAGAATATTGATGTGAGTGCAGTGCAACAAAGTAAATGAGCGAGGTAAATAGCAGTTTAAAAGACAGGTTGGAATGTAAATCATGTAATCAGATATTGGTCCGGTCATGCGTAGATGAAACTACTTATGGGGCAGTATTTTCTATTGATAGCAAAGAATCAATTTAACGGGAACTTGTAGCTTTTGACTACTAAGAACCGAATTTACTCTTTAAATTAAATTCCTTTATTGTCACATATAAAGGGTGCCTTCCGCGTTAAAGAGGTAAACCTATTTTTAAGAAATTGATAGTTTTGACTTAACAGAAAAGTAATTTTACTTGGAAAGATTAACTTAAAGAGACTTTTGGCTTTTGACCAAGAGTCAGATTTCAAACCTACAAACGCGTCCGAAAATAGTTTCAAAATCGTTTTCTAAAAAGGTCAATGATTCCTATTTAACTAATCGACGGCTTTCGCTCTTTTCGTTTGGTTAAATAATAATCAAGTCGTATCATTAGTTTGGACGGCTTTCGATCTTACCCAATAAACATTTAAACATAATTGACTTAAGTTAAAAGCAAAACATCCCCAGAGTATTTTCACTAGCATGATAATTGGAACACGACCATGATGACAATCATTACATCCAAACATTTATAGTTTAGCCAGACATAATAAGTGCGAGTCTATAAAACGTGTAGACTATGATAAGAGCGAGTAAGTAAAAGAGTACGAGTCTATAAAACGTGTAGACTATGGTAAGAGCATTTAGAGTCTATAAAACGTGTAGACTATGGTAAGAGCATTTAGAGTCTATAAAACGTGTAGACTATGGTAAGAGCATTTAGAGTCTATAAAACGTGTAGACTATGGTAAGAGCATTTAGAGTCTATAAAACGTGTAGACTATGGTAAGAGCATTTGGAGTCTATAAAACGTGTAGACTATGGTAAGAGCAATTATAAGTAAAGAAATGCAATAAAATAGAACCTTGCTCCAGTCGGAGACTTGAATCTGATACAAATCTGCGGAATGGTAAGGCTGGTATGACGAACTTCAACCAAAGTGCTCCAAGACTCGATTACAACTCAATCTACACCGCAATAACTCCCCGATGTGAAGAGATTATTACTTTACAGAAACTGATAGTATATGGCTTAAGATTGTACTAAGCTTGGATGAAACTAAAAAATGAAAATCGAAAACTATTTATAGAGGATCCTTGAGATGCGTAAAGACCAGCATGCCCCTCAACTTCTTATGAGCGGGAAACTTTTTGTGAAGGCCGCGGGCGCGGTGGCAGTGGCCGCGGGCGCGGTGGCTGGAACTGCCAGATCATGGAAACGTGGCAGTTGGTCTCTGGGTGAAAGTGGGCCACGTCACCGCGTTCCCTGTAGCCGGCGCGGCGCTGAACGCCATAAGTGCAGAATATCTTGAAAAACCCTAATTTCTTGGCGTTTTGGCTCGTTTCTTCACAGAAGGCTCTGAAATGACAAGAATCCTGAAAACAAAGGAAAAAGGAAGATAATACGAGAAAATGATAATAAAAACTAAGGAAAACATGTGATATTTGAGTCAGAAACATAGTGCGATTTAGTGCGATCACACATCTCCAGAGGGAGGTTGTAAGGGGTTACAATAACTGACCAACAAGAATACGCACTTCCCGACGCTTGCACATATGGAGAAAAACCATCAGAGCATAATCCAAGCTTGGCATTTCTAGGTTCAGAGGCAAAATTAGGATGTGTCCGATCAAAGTGCTTTCGTGCCTCACCATCAGATGGATGTCACATAGTGCCTGGACTTGGTTTGTTTGTATGGTTCCATGTCATTTGACTTGCACTGTGAATTGAAGCAAATATTCTTTTTAACCTTGGTATTATCGGAAGATAAAACATGAACTTTACTACTACACGTTTTTGCTTGTTGTTAATGGCTCTACTGCGAACTTGATATCTTAGTTTGTTACAAAACTTAGATTCCTCCAACAATCCATCTTGAATATCAAACTCATTGTCATAAAACACGCAACCACTAATGCAACAATCAATCTTTCTTACTTTTAAACTCAACTTCGACACCAACTTCTTTGCATCATAAAAACATGGTAGGCAAGTTTTCTTTTATTTCAGTGGAGTCCAACATCATTTTTGCGAAATATTTCAAACACTGATTTGACTTGGTGGCCAATAATCTCATACACATTGATAACTTTGAGTCTGACGATCCCTCAAACAACAACGTATTCATCTCATTCAATAACTAATAAAATCTCTGTGCTTCCTCATTCAGCGACTCTTTCCTGTCAAAATCTTTAGGTTGATCATATGTCACGTTCGCACCAAAAACATCCTCAACCATCTAACCGATCAGATTAAAGTTTTCCTCATATTCCATATGCAGTCGACTACTTGAAGCATGCATGTTGCTAGTCTCTGGTACATTACTCGAGAGTTCTTCACTTTTGTACGTCAAAACCCAATAATTTTCAATGATATTCCTTCTATGAAAATGACGTGCTACTTGGATCACTAATTATTGATCTACATTCACATTTAAGACAGAGTCACCTAACTTCTTCTTCGCTTCGACAATATTCCTGAGCAAACGCCCATGTTATAAACTCATTAACTCCTTCTATAAAATGAAGTTTAAGTGCACATCTTCCTAAATACAATCTATCATACATCCAACTACGACCATACCGATAAAATTCCATACTGCACATTTATATAATCACTGTCTTATTATTAACTATAAATAAACTATTAACTATAGTAACTATAATTAAATTTTATAACTATATACATAAACATATTAAATATATTAACCATAAATGAATTGTTTTTTTAACTAAACATTTTATGTATTAAATAATTATTATATAATCATTGTTTATCTATTAAGTAAATATTATATAAATATATTAAATATATTAACCATAAATAAATTGTTTTTTCAACTAAACATTTTATAAACATATAATAATTAATTATTTTTAAAAATATACTATATTCTTTTTTTTAACAATATAAAACATATACTTATATAATATATTCTACTTGTAATATATATTTTGTTTAAAAAATTTATTTCTCTAATTAAGAAAAACATATATATTATTTCATTTTTAATTATTTTTTATTTATATTTCTACTTAAAAAAAATTATGTTTATTATATAAATGATTCTGTTTTTAAAAACATCAAAATATATAAATATAAAAAAATTGTTTTCAATGAAAATAAAAATTTATTTTGTTTTTAATAAAATGAAATATTTTGTTTTTATTCTGTTTTTTTATTTGTATATATATTTATTCAATTTATAATAGTATCTTATATTTACAATAATATAATATTTTGTTTTAAATAATAATAATAATAATAATAATAATAATAATAATAATAATAATAATAATAATAATAATAATAATAATAATAATAATAATAATAATAATAATAATAATAATAATAATAATAATAATAATAATAATCATAGGCTTTTATAATGTTTTAAATAAAATAATTGATGCAAACTTACCTTTAAAACAAAATTGAAACAAATTGAATAAAAAAATATGGATTTTAATAATAATTATTCAAACTAAATTTTTATGAAAAATTTCTTTATAAATACTTTTTAAATAAAAATATGTAACATTTAAAAAAAGTGAAACAAACATGCCAAGATATATTGTACAGCACTTTGTGACTAAAAAAGTAGAAGGTGCAATACTTGTGACTAAATACTAAAAATTAGAGAGAGAGACGAAATGAATAGCAGATTCAAACTTTAGAGTCCACATTGTTGTGCTATAATAATTAAGAACAATATTATAATGCGAATAAAATAATGTCCCAATGACCTGGTATGAGTCATCATTTTCTTCAATTGGCTATCTAAATTCTAAACAATACATCTTCAGTTTCTATAAATACTAGACACATCTCCGCTCATAAATCACACAGCTACTAAAGCATCTTCTAAGTTAATATTAATTTGTTAGCATTATAATTCATCACTATCATGGGTGTTTTCAAATTTGAGGATGAAACCACTTCTACTGTAGCACCCGCAATACTCTACAAAGCTCTTGTGATTGATGTTGACACTCTTACTCCAAAGGTCGTTGATGTCATCAAAAGTATTGAAATCGTTGAAGGAAACGGCGGTGCTGGATCTATAAAAAAAGTAACTTATGTTGAAGGTCAGTATACATACTTATATGTGTTTCTTGAATATGCTCTTAATATATAAAGTTTACTTGCAGTTTTGATTTTTTATCTTTTTTTGGTTAAAAATTCCACAATTTTATATGCAGATGGTGAAACCAAGCATGTGTTGCACAAAATAGAGTTAGTAGATGTTACTAACTGGGTTCACAACTACAGTATAGTTGGTGGTGATGGGCTTCCAGACACAATTGAGAAGATCTCATTCGAGGCCAAATTGTCTGAAGGCCTAAATGGAGGATCTGTTGGAAAGTTGAGTGTGACATACTTCACAAAAGGTGATGATGCTCCTAGTGAAGAGCAACTCAAGAAGGACAAAGCTAAGGGTGATGGTCTTTTCAAGGCTCTCGAGGGGTATATTTTGGCTAATCCTGATTACAACTAAGTCATACAATTATCAACTGCTTGTTTGTTTTATATATGGTGCGGTTTGAGTTGTGACACATTATACTATACATCAAGTGTGTTTGATTTGTCTTCCTTTTTAATTTTCTCTCCTTTTTTTTTTAATTCATTTCCTTTTGTTGCGGAAGTGAAATTGTGAGATTGTAAGTGGTGTGTCTACCTCTCCAATAAATTATAATAATACTTCATCTATTTCTGGTTACTTGTTTGTTTCTTTATATTACTTTTGTAGCGTCGAGAGATGCAACCAATTGTTTTTTTAATAACTATAAGATAGTCTTTGTTCAAGACATAAAAATATAATATGAAGTGTGTATTCAATCATCTAGGTCGCTTGCATAATTCGAAATCTGACCATCCAACAAGCCTCTCTTCGTTCTCTTTATTATACATTAGACTATGCATTAAGAACCGCTGCATAAGATGAATTCCAGAATCTTGACTTCAACTGTAACATGTAACCACATGTTCTCTTCTAGTAGTGTTTATGTTCAAAGTCTGATGACATCACACGCCTTGATACCAGATCTAGAACATTACTGCAGCAACTACTCATTAGAAAGAATCCATTAGAGTATACAATTGTTCTATATGATATCGTGTAAAGTTATCATAAAAATCTTAAGACCATATGTAGAAACACTTCTTGTTCCTATAGAGCCTTCATCCAACACGAGTAAGAATTTGAAGAGTGAACAAAAAGATGGTAACAACATTAATCTAGCCAAAAAATAATGTTGTCTCCTTTATCAAGAAGCCAAGAAGAATTTTCCATAAGCTCAAAGTGTGAATCTTTAATACTACTCTAGATGGATGATGAAATATGATGAGCAATAATATCTTTTTCCTTAAAACTCTAATATTCAATAGTAAAATCAAATCTTATAAAGAGTTCATGAAATCCCAATGGCTTTAAGCTAGGCCCCTTATTAATTTTGAGCAATAGACCTTAAGCCAAGACCGCCTTGATATGTAGGTTTACACACTTTATGCCAATGTACAATTATAAGTTTTATTTTGTTAACATCTCCACTTTAAATGAAGTTTCTAATTATATTATTCAAGGATTTGATCAAACTAGCGCAGGTCAGCAATAAATTACAATAGTATGCTGGACCATACTGAGAATAAGTGATTTAACTAACTGCACTTTTCCTATAATTGAAAGCAACCTTGATATATAGGTTTTCGAACTTTGTGCCAAGCTACAGTTATAAGTTTTCTTTTGTTAACATCTCCACTTTAAATGAAGTTTCTAATTATATTCTCCAAGGATTTGATCAAACTAGTGCATGTCTGTAATAAATTGCAATAATATGTTGGGTCATGCTGAGAATAATTGATTTAACTAATTGCACTTTTTCGATAATTGAAAGCAAGAAAGCTTTTCAAGCAGATAATTTGTCTCTAATTATATCCAGAAAAGGTTGAAGAAAAGAGACTTTAGGCTTAACTCTAAAATTGGGGACTCCCAAATAAAGAAAGAACAAATAATCAATCTTAAAACTAAGTAAATGGGAAAAATGAGCTATTATATGCTGAGACATAGCTCCAACAAAAACGACATAGTTGCTGGCATTAATAATTTGATCTGAAGCTATAGTATAAGAAGAAAACAACTGAGAAAGAACTTGTGTGTTTGTGTTGGTACCTATGTAAGAATCCATGATATCATCTACATACATGGTGTGAGATGGAACATTGACATTCCTGGTACCTTTTATCAGATCAAGCTTGCCACCAGAGACCAGATTGGATATACCCCTGCTGAGAAATCTTTTCCAAGATAAAAAAGGAGAGGTGATAGAGGTTCACCTTGCCCGACCCCTATATTGCACTTGAAGTATCCTTCATGAGCTCCATTAATGGATATTGATAACCTAGTAGAATTCAATGTATTGGTAATTCAAGTGCGTAAAGTTGAACTAAAGCCAAAAACTTGAAGGAACTTTATCAAGAAGCTACAATCAAGTGTGTCAAAAGCTTTAGATATGTCAATTTTCTGAGCCATGTTGCCTCCATAAGATTTCTTAAGCATCAATTTAATAGCTTCAAATGTGGCACATATACACCATTTCAGCTGTCTGGCAAGGATTAAACCTCTTTTCTCTTTAGAAACAAGATTAGGCATAATAGCTCCTAGCATATCAGCTAAAATTTTAGAAATTATCTTAAACTTGAAATTGGCTAAAGCTATTGGTCTAAACTAGTCAACATTGTAAGCATTTTGAACCTTAGGAATGAGCATAATTGAGTTAGCATTCCAGTTGGGAAAAAGAAAACATGTGTTGAAAAGCTCCAAGACTGCATTACAAACTATAAGAACAAGATTTGTATCTGTGTTTAGTCTCTATGTTTTGATGATAACAAGCATATATTTTATGCAGAACAATTTTGTTCCTATTGGTCTCATTGAGTGTGCAGATACATTGTTAGTATTCTGGATAGTCTTAATCAAGATCTCATCAGAATCACATCACCACTCAGAAGAAGAACCATTGAGTTCTGTTTCTAATGAAACATTAGTAGTTCTATGGAATGCTGAATGTTCGACAAGAAAAGAATCTCAATAAGTTTCCAAGAAGAAAGAATCTCTGATAAGCTGTTGCCTGAAGATCGGAAATCAAGAGGTGACAAGAAACAAGCTTCCAACGCAGAAGATCAGAAGTCAAGACTAGTTCATTAGAAGAGTTTCTGCTTATAACTCTAAAGACGACATCAAGATTCTGAACACATGTAGAGAAAGCTTCTACTCCAAGATCAAAAGTCAAGATTTTCTCATCAGAAGAGTTGTTGCTCATGTATCTGAAGACAAAGTCAAGATTCTGAAGACTCGGAGAATTCATGGAATATACACCTTCATTCAACATCAGAAGTATTCCATCAGAAGAAATGATTAAATAAAAGAAGATCTTTTGGAATCACTTCTAATCAACATTTCAAAGTCCATCAGAAGATAAGATCAAAGGATGATATCTTCTCAAGCTAATCTACTCAACATAAGTAATACTCATCATAAGACAAATACCATCAGAAAGACCACTGCACTCAACATGTGAAATATTATGGCCACTTCAAATATAAACATCAAAAGTTCTAAGGAATGTTGAATGTTCATCCGAAATGGAATCAAGTATACTCTCAGATCAGAAACCATATATGCTTCGAACCAAATAAAGAAAGGAATTCATGATCATACAACAAAGATGTAGCTAACAATAAGTTGTTGCTTTCAGCTAAATCCAAAGACTAGAATTCAAGGGATCAGAAATAAGGAACTTAACATCAAAATCATATGTACTGATATAAGTTGTTGCTTCAGAAATCAGACATCAGATATGCAACTTAGAAAAGATGATAATCATGAATCAAGTATCAAGTCAAGAAGTAGATCATAAAAGCTTTCACTTAAAGAAGAAATTGTTCATCAGATAAGCTGTTGCTTATATATCTGAAGACAATGTTCAAATATCTGAAAGACTATGACTCTACAACAAAGATGAATCTTCTGGAACATTATCACTCCTTAACCAGAAACAATCCAGGAAGGAGAAAAGAATCAAAGCTCAAGAATTTAAAGACTTGAGAATCAGATAGGATGTTGTCACAAAATCTAATTTCAAGATTATCATCTGAAAATATTTTGATATCTTCATTAGAAGATGTTTCAAGTACAATGTCAAGACTTGTTGTTTCAGATAGGTTATTGTCGATCATTTGGAAAACAAGAATCCACTATTGAAAGAATATGAAATGAAACATCTTCTCAACACAAATCTTAATCTCTCAGATCAGGAAAAAAATGCCTTCAAGAGTAGTTATAGATCTGAAGAAAAGCTTAGTGTTTCGGATAGGCTGCTGCCCATAATTTTGAAGACAAGAATTGGTTTTGATCACTCTGGTGTTCATGCACTACAACAACAAAGTAGTTTCTGAACTATTCACCAGTCAGACATCAGAAGAATGAAGACAATTGATTGATATCTTCTAATCTTAATAATTCAGAATCAGAAGTACATCATCAGAAGATAAAGATCAAGAAACTTAGTCAAGAATAAAATATTACATTAGCTGTACTATTCAAAGAAGTTGTTCTCCCATTGTCGTACGTTAACCACTACAAGTAGTAGGTCTAGGAAAGTGATGTTTCATACTGTTCCAAAACCTCTCTTGAATATATCAGTTGGGAATCAACCGTCGGAAGGAGAAAATACTTCTCTATCATTACAACGACTCTTTTCATATGAAGGCTATATAAGAAGATAAAGCTTCAAATTCAAAGTGAGGAAGATATTGGCAAAGAAGACCATATCCAAGTCCAAACAATGTTGTTGTTCTTAATAGCAAATATTTACAATGTTGAAGAGATGAATGAAAAGCAAGGAGCTATTGCTCATATCTTTCTTACTGAAGAAAGAAGATGAAGAAGAAGAATTCTACAAGATGATACTCAAACTTCCATCATATACATCTTGGCAGAATTATGAAGAAGCAAGGATTTGTTGCTCATAGCTTGCTCAACAAAGAAGATGAAGACAAGAAAACTACAAGATGTGGCACTCAAGTTAAATTATATTCATCTTTGTAGAAACAATGTGAAACACAAGAGTTGTTGCTCAGATTGTGTTATTTATTAAGAATCTTTATGTAAATTGTTTGTACACAAGAGTTGTTGCTCAAAATTGTGTAAAATAATATGTACTTAAATTAGGGGTAATCTGCTTGATAAGAAGCACTCATGTAATCTCCAAAAAAAACAATTCTGGTTAAAATTGGTGGTTCCTCAAGCGATTGAGTGAAGATCAGAAGACTTGAGAGGAGGAGTGGTTGCGGTCATTATGGATGAAATCCTTTCTAAAAGACCAGGTGGGTCAGATTCTAGGTGGGTCAATGATCGTTATATCTCGTGGAGATCACTAAACATATCATTATGATGTTCCTTGAGAGACTCGATTGAGTCAGGATTCTCAAGAAGGCTTA